CTTTCCCTAAAAACGTTCTCGCAGTCTGCTTGTGAATGGATGTGCATATTTACATGCGTTGTAAGTAATGGTCGGAGAAAGTCATATTTTTTTTTTCTTACCTACCAACAGACAGAGAATAACGTAGTAATATTTACTACGGACCGTCGCGAAAAGTAAGGAGCAATTTACGGCCATTAAACGATCGGTTCTTTCTCTGTCCGGTGAAACGGGAATCAATGAATCAATGCTAGCTATCGACTCTTCTACTGCCAGGAGATATTGCTCACTTACTTACAGTACTGCCCTTTGTGAGGGCAAGATCCCGAAAACCTGTAGAGCCAATCCCTAAGATCAAAGGCTCTCCTCCAATCAGCTGAGGCCGTTGTTCGTCCTTCTGTCGAGGGCCCACCACTCCTGAACGTCTTCAGTTCTTCTCAGGCGTATTCTAAAGAGCAGGGCTGCGGCTACAGAAGCATCTTGGCACCCAGATCATTTCAACTTTTTTTTTTTGGGGGGGGGGAGGGAGGGGGGGGGGCGGGGGTCCACCTACGCTGCGGAGTCATGATCTCCGTACCAAAATGTCTTCGTCCAGCCAGGACTGTTTGACACTTCTACTGCATCTGCATGACCTCAACATTCAGTAGATCGTCACCTTCCTGCAGGCATAAAGACCCCCTCCCCCCTCCCCCCCACACACACACACTGCCTTATTTATTAACTGAGCACCAGTGACATGGAATGACTGGCGAGCATGACCCCCCGCCCCGCCCCTTGAATGCTCTTGCATGCATGTCAACACACACAACGCTCACATGGTCAAAGTGCTAATGGAGATGAAAATGATGCTGGTGATTTTTTTTTTTGTTATAAGACAAATGTTTTTACTGCGTAGGCCAGGGGTGTCAAACATGCGGGCCGGGGGCCAAAACCGGCCCGCTTGGGGCTTTCAATCCGGCCCGCTTGATGAATTTTTTTAAAAATAGAATAATACAAAAACACTTGACGCTCAGAAAACGCTTTCTAAAATGATTTTAATATTTATATAGTGTAATTTTTTTTTTGGCCTGAAAAAAGATGACGTTTTGTCATTTATAGGTAATTGTGTTATGATTGTACTGGTTCCGGCCTGCTTGACATCTAATTAGGTTGTATGAGTTTGACACCCCTGGCATAGGCCTGTTGATTTTAAAGGTTCAATGCCAAAAAAAATGGTTAGAAACAGATACAAGGTTTTTTTTTTTTTGTTTTTTTATATATATATTTCTTCACAGCGGAACGATTTGTGTGGAAATGAAAAAACTGCAGCTCTAGGATTTATTTGTTAAACCAAATAGACCAGAGAGCAGGAGAGATTAGTGGTGAACATGTTCTCCTCTGTGTGGGGAGGACATAAATGAGAACGCTCCGTTAGATAGAAAAGACACAGCCTGTCACTGGGAGGCAAAATGACAAGATGACGCTTTTGGAAAGAACCAGAGAGGAAAATCTGTGTCATTCCTCGGAGGTGGAACGCGGGTTAGGACGGGTTTATGTAAGACGGTTTCCCGGCGAAGCAGCGCTATTGGTTCTGCAAAACGGGAACAGCGTTTTGTGCCCTTGGAGCTTTTTGTCTTCACACAGCTCCACCACGTGGCGGTACAGGCCGCAGCTGCCGGCGTTCTCTCCCCCCCCCCCCCCTCTTCTCCTGCGCCTCCTCCCCCCGCAGTGCCGACTCTCCTGCAGAGCTCTTCACTGAACGTTGGCGTTCAACTCTGTGACTGTTAAACAGTTCTGTTTCGCTAAGATGGCTCCTCCCCCTCTGTGAACTCCCTCTCATGTAGGTCAGATTATCAAAAAAGGTGGCGTGAATTCAAGCTAAAGCTTACAGTACGTTGCTGCTACAAGATAGCATATGTACCTGTAGTATATATTTATATATATTTTTTTTAATCGCTGCAAGCTGTCAATCCGAATTAGCTGACTCATGGGTTTTGTTTTGTTCTTAATATATGTCCTGGGTTGATTTTAATCAGTATACAGCTCCACATGCTGGTCACATAGAGCGTTGTTTCCCAAAGACTGGGTCGCGACCCTCAGGTGGGTCGCAAGAGATTTTTTTTTTTTATTTCGGGGTCGTCTCGCATCATGTTTCCCAGGAGTTTACGAATAACGTCTATCGACTTGGGTCGCGAAGTTTTGGGACTTTTTAAATATGGGGTCCCCAGAAAAAAAAAAAAAAAGTTTGGGAAACACTGATAATAAAGGAAATGCGTTCTATTTGTTTCTAGAAAGGCCAATTGCAACGAGAGGGGGCGGGGGGGGGAGATCTGGAAAGCGAAAGTAGAAGAGACTCATACGGGGCTAGCATGTTTACCACACTGGGTGTGTGTCAG